GGGTGATCATGGGCGGCGGTAGTCACTTACCATAAAAAAAAATTAAGATATCAACGACTCGCTGCAAATAAGAGCTTAGTAAATCAAGTTGCCACTGTTGCTAATCTATTGAAAGCCCACGGTACCTATGTTAAAATATCTCATTCCGCGTCAAGTTACAAGAAAACAGCGTATTATGGAAAGAATATTGAAATAAAACTATTAAAATTTGAGTAATAATTAAGAGAAAATACGTTATTTGTTACCAAAACTTTAAATGCTTGTAAACGGCTTTTAACCACAGGGAGACTTTGTACAAAAGTCGTTTGCTTGACCACCTCTGTCCCATTCGTGTTTCTACTGTGAAGCAGTTGTGTTTGCATGGCTGTGTTTCGGTTTGAAGGGTGGGATATGGCAGTGAATTTACACGGTACAGAGGAATAACACCTGAGTCCTCAAGAATGGCAATGCAAGGGAGGTATCATGGGCGAAACAATACTCTGTTATGTCCATGGTACTGCTCATGTCTATAGGCGACGGGTATCTTTCCATCAGGTGAGCCGTTAGCTTGTTTGCCATTCTAAGTTGTGTATGAAAATGGCTGTAGTAAATATACAATCAGTTACCGGAGGACTTTAGAAAATTAAATATTAACCAATTTAAGAAGAGCCTACGTAACTTGTTATTAAAAAAGTGTTATTATTCGACGAAGGAATATTTAAATGACAAAATAAGTACGTGATATTATTGTTTTTTTTTTATTTTTTTTTATGAACAGTATTATACGATGTCACTCCTCAAGATTATGGTTTTAAAATAATCTTGAACCCCTTTTTCAGTCGTATTACCTTTCTGTTACGTCCTGACCAGACACAATATTAATAAGTCTCCCCATCCTCAGGTTGCCCGAAAAAGATCGCTGTTTAGCGATAAGGCCGCCCATTATTACTTCTTTATCTCTCTTTTATGTAATTATTTATTAATTTTATTTGTGTACATATTGTTATTTTTAATCTGTATCATGCATTGAAGGGGACAATCAATAGTTTTCATTCATTCATTCATTCCAAACAATTTTAATTCCAGCCAATCCCAAGTCTACACACAAACCGCCGCCGGCGTATGCCTTGCACCACACACCACATCTGTTCTATTATTAGTGCCTAATCGATAAACTGACTTAAATGTGACAGTATGTACGTTTCGTAGACTGTTTTAGCCGACTGCGCGGAAAAGGGTGACGTTAACAATTTAAATATTATGTAGTAGTTATGATTGTATATTATACTTACGTACATATATAAATAAAAATCAATTTTTAATGGATGATAATGGAATGGTAACCCCGCCTGTGCTATCGGTATACGCTGGCGAGGTACCAGGGATGCATGATAAGTGAGGATGTAGAGGCAGGTCAGTTGGCCCATTGTGACAAATTTAAGAATTAATCACTATGGTTTCCCCGGTTTTTTTTATTGCATAACCTTGCCTCCGATAACGGTACACGCTATCGGAGTACCAGGGGAACATAATTCGGCAGGCGGATTAGCAACCGCAGTTAGACTTTGGAGATGTTTTAAGAGGGACGCTGCTGCCCGTCCCTCGCTCTCCCTTAGTCACCTCTTACGACACCCACGGGTGTTACATATATATATATATATATATATATATATATATATATATATATATATATATATATATATATATATATATACAATTAACATAACGCTATAAATCACATGTACATAAGCCATAACGTTCGCAAACACTTTTGGGAACCGGTTGCTTGTACAAACAACATAAAAATAAATGTAACATACATACATACATAATAAACTTTAACATTTTGCTTTACAAATAAACAAAACAAAAAAAAGAATGTATTTTTTTTTATTCAACATAGAATGGCAAACAAGCTGACGGCCCACCTGATGGAAAGTGGTAACCGTCGCCTATAGACATGAGCAGTACCATGAACATAACAGAGTATACTGTTTCGCCCATGATACCCCCCATGCGTTGCCATTCCTGAGGACTCAGGTGTTATTCCTCTGTACCGTGTAAATTCACTGCCATATCCCACCCTTCAAACCGAAACACAGCCATGCAAACACAACTGCTTCACGGTAGAAACACGAATGGGACAGAGGTGGCCAAGCAATCGACTTTTGTACAAAGTCTCCCTCTAGTATGTATTTGTATGTTGATTAAATTAGTATGAGACCAATAAAATACCATAGAATAGGCCACCGCTTCCTTTCCCGTGGGTGTCGTAAGAGGCGACTAAGGAGAACGAGGGACGGGCAGCAGCGTCCCTATCAAAACATGTCTAAAAGCCTAACTGCGGTTACCAATCAGCCTGCCAAGCGTTGCAACTACTGGCAAAACCCCCCAAGGGGAAGGCTTATGTCCAGCAGTGGACAGTTAAAGGCTGACATGTTGATAAAATTCACCAACCACATCACAAAACACAATTAGAAAAAAAAAAAGATTGGGTCCCATTAAGAAAAACCGGATTCAGTTGTGACAAAACCAATTCACTTGTTCTAATAACTAAACGACTGAGACGATTTTGATGAAATTCCTACTGGAACAATCAGTAAGTACGTGCTTTCAGATAAAAAAAGAATTTTCCAAATCGGTTCACAACTGACTGAGTTATGAGGTGACAAACAAACAAAATGAATTGAAAATCTCCATCTCTTTGGTGTCAATTGAAAATTCTGCCAAAACATGACAATGGAATTAAATAATAAAATATGTATTGAATGTTTATCTACATTTGGGGTCAATTGGGGTCACGTAAATATTGGTCCCAGATAAATATTGGGGTCAGATTTTACAGCAAGTATCAAGACGACAGATCGCTGTATACGCTCGGTACATTAGTACCGCCACTCACGGGTTGTTGGCATTTGTCGGTAAAAATATTTAAATTTAACAATAGGTACGGTTTCTTTTTTATTTTAAATACGCCAAAATTAAAAGAATTAAATCTATAAAACACGCACGATAATTATCATATATTTTTTTACAACGCAGGGGGCAAACGAGCATGCGGCTCGCCTGATGGTAAGTGACTACCACCGCCCATGGTCACCCGCAATACCAACGGCATTGCAAGTGCGCCAACGGCCTTTTAAAAAGGAATATGCTCTTTTCTTGAAGGTTATGATATCGTATATGAATATATACATATATTTACTCTGTTACTAACTAAACAGTACAATGAGCAGTACCGTGCACATAACAGAGTATACTGTTTCGCCCATGATACCCCCACGTGTTGCCATTCCTGAGGACTCGGGTGTTATTCCTCTGTACCGTGTAAATTTTTTGATAAACTCTTCATGATGGGCCAACTGACCTGGGTTCAACTTCACTCATTATGCCTCCCTGGTACCCCGCTAGCGTATACCGAGAGCGCAGGACGGGTTACCATTCCATTATTACCAATTAAAAAAAAAAAACTAATCATCCTATTTATCGTCCAATCAACATAAGCTAATCACGCGAATAAAGTCACAAGACAATACTAACAAACAATAATATCAAGTATCAAGATGTTGCAATCGCTGTATTCAGCGGAATCCGGCGTCGCGCGTCGCTACGAAATGCTACCAACGCACGAACCGACGACGGACGTAACTGAGAATTTTATTCGTAATTTATTTACAAAAATAAATTACATTATTTCTTGGTTGTAAGAAGAAGGCACAGATTTCAATATCGTTGTAATATCTATATATCGACTTCCTCTGGAGATTTACGACGGTATTAAGGACATACCTGTTTCAGTATCACCCGTTACCGATCTGATATCTATAGTAACTCCGGTGGTGTATTTCATTTTGATATTATGGTATATATTGGATAAACAATAATATATGTATTTTATTTACATTGGATCAATATCTATATATTGGCCAAGTAATAGATATATTAATTATATTCTAGTTGCAATATCTGTCTTTCTCCCACGCACAACCACTCTTTGGAATCAACTTCCAGCAGCAGTATTTCCGAACCGATACGACAACATAACCTTCAAGAAAAGAGCATATTCCTTTTTAAAAGGCCGGCAGCACTCCTGCAATGCCGTAGGTGTTGTGGGTGACCATGGGCGGCGGTAGTCACTTACCATCAGGTGAGCCGCATGCTCGTTGGCCCCCTGTGTTGTAAAAAAAAAAAAAAATCTGTATTTTAGATAGATAGATATTCTGCTACTAAAATATATGGATATTTCTATATATTACTTAACTCTAGTAGTCAGTGACTTTGCTCGTTATATATTCCACGTGTTCAACTAGTATACAACGTATCCGTGGAACAAAATTTAATTCAAACAAACATACCAACATCTTTATAAACACTCACATTTACAATATTTGAAGGATTAGTGAAATTGATTTACAAAATCGATCTTTAATAATTAATTCGTGGTTCACAAAGAAAAAAAAAATCGACTCCAATTGTGGCAAATCCATTTATTTCGATTTAAAATTAAAAACTAAACCATTGAGACTAAATCAACTTCTAAATCAGGCGACAAACAGTTATGAGGTAATCATCGTGAAATATAAATTTTACTTTTAAAAAGTAAATTTAAACGTAATTTTATTAATTAAAAAAGTTCAGTTGCCACCATATACCCGTGGCGCGCACTAAGTAAAGCAAGCAAACGAAGCAAACTCGAGGACACAGGGTTGCCACCGATTAACTATTGTATTAATTTAATTTTTATTTTTTTAATTAATTAGAAAACTACCTATTTCAACTCCTTATTTATTCGATAATAATTCCATCAAGATTATTTTAAATCACTTAAAAATATTACTAGCAACCCGCTAACTAGCGTGCAAACAATGTAAGTTTTTTTTTTGATGGGTGAGAATGTTATTGTAACCCCGCCCGCCTGATGTTTCCTACACTTATCACTAGATGTCGCTACATAAATTCTACAGCGCGCTATTCAGATTTTCTCTCGCCGACTGACTTGACTGCCGGCGACATTGGTAGACAAGACCTTACTTCATAGGATCATTTCTATAGTAAGCTCTTCACCCAGAAACTCGCAATATGTGAGGGCACACAAGCCGCGATGACGAGACGTGGCGCAGTACCCTGAGCGTGAGGTGGGCGGTGGTGGTTCATCACCAGCCCTCGATGATCGTTCGCTCCCTTCGGGGAGAGTGGGGTATTGTCGCTTTCTGAGTGGTTTTTTAAACTCTTTTAAATAATTAAATATAAAAAATTGGTCATTGCTCGTTGCTACCATTGTTCTTACTTATTATCACTAGCAATCCGCCCCGACTTCGCATGGATTGTGTAACTTTTAAACTGTTCAATAAATTTAAGAAAGGTTGATATTTTTCCATATATGAAAGCACTGCACTAAAGTTCTCTAAGATTTTAACATGAACGATGTATTTAACAATTTGATGTGAGCACGTTTATATAGTATCGATCACTAATCACCGCCTGATAGTTATTTTGTAAATATATTTCGTGTACAGAATTGACCTCTCTACAGATTTATTATAAGTATAAATTTCAAATCGTTCATACAGCGCACGCCATCTATTAGAACTGAAAGTATACATTCACCAAAATAAAAAGTAAGAATAAACTTTTCTAAGAGTAAAAGAATTTTCAAAACGAATCAGTAGTTCCGGAGATTATCCCGACGATCCAAACTCACAACTTTACCTCTTTATAATATTAGTACAGATAATATAGTGAGAGAAAGGTGCCCAAGAGAGTGACAAAGAATATTGGAAGGACCACGAACCCGATTGTCGGATGACAGTGGATAGCTGGGCGCAGTGATGGAGGTTAGCATAGGAACGTTACAAATGGCGCTACAAAAAAGAGGCCTACACCCAGCAGTGGGTTGAATAAATAGATAGATAGACATAAAATAAATATACAAAACGATATTAAAAACAAATATAATTAAAAGTAATAATAATAATAAAGCGCTTGCGACAACCCTGAACAGTCAGAGGCAAGTATGCGCCCGGCCGATATTTTTTCACTGTAGAACACAAATGCATGGAGTAGTGTTACAATTATAAATATTTATATTATTTTATTAATTACTATGTGTATTTCAATTTAGACAGAAATAAATATTGAAAAAGAATCATCAAAATCAGGCTAAAATTTGTGATAACTTTTTTCAACCGACTTCAAAAAAGGAATTTTTTATATTACATCATTAGTTTATTTATAATAGTTATGTAACATTTATCAATATTACAAAAATGTTCAGCCTTGTGATGGGAATAGGCAGTGTCAGCTGATGTGGATATGATTTTGTAAGTAAATAAAAAAACGTGTGATTGAGCCTTCAGATATATGGTATATTCAGTTTCCATCAGACATCAGAAATCCGTCATTTATTTTCAATTATTTTTTCAGCTATACTTTCAGATAATCCTATAGGAATTTTATCAAAAATCCGTTCATAAATTTAGTTTTTAAATCCAATCCACTGGTTTTCCCACGATTGAAGTATTATTTATTTAACTATATATTCTATTGCACCATAAATATAAAAATATAAAAGGGGAATTAGAAAATTCAAGTGAAATACGGCAGTATAAAGTACAGGTTACAATATATACATAAAGATACAAAAGGCGGTGTTATCGCTAGGGCGATCTCTTACAGACAACCTTTGGTTAAAGGAGAACAGATAGAAGTGGGTAGGTGGCGCAAGAGTTAATTAATTAATGTACACGTATAATGCACAAAAACGTCAAATACATATTGTTTATTAGATTATATATTACAACAAATATTATATACTACATATACATACATATATAAATATATACATACCTCAACTCCATGAGATGTATAGGCGATTTGGTTATGCTATACATACAAACTTTAAAGTACGTTTTTTTTAATACAACCTTAAATTATAGACAGATAGATACTCTTTATTGTTCCCTCCATAAGATGATAATAGTAAACTTATTATAGATACAAACTAATTATATTCACATTGATCCCCAGTCATTTCGTGAAATGCCCTTTGAAATTTTCCGAAGAAAACTACGAAATTGGCTTATTTAAAAGTGTTTTTACACGATAAAAGAATTTGTAAGTCTGAATGGTAGATTAGACTAAGAATGCATTTTATGTAATAATCTTAATAATATGACATGTACAATTTCAATGCTTTATAACTATAATATCGACTATTTTTAAATGTTGACATAATTAACTAATTCAACGTAACAATTAATATGTATTTAGAATAATTATTTGGACATACGTAATTGATAAATTTTTACTTAACATGTGCTAAGACAAAATTTGCATGCGTTTAGATAAGGCGAAATGTGTAGCTCAGTTACCATTTAAGACCTTTGTACCACATTTCGAGCAAATAAATTATTCTTATTCTTATTTTTAAATTGCATTGTAGCAAGTCAGTGGATGCAGGTGGCTCGGTACCGTTTATTTTTGGCAGTCTATGGGGGAGGCTTATGTCCAGCAGTGGACGGATAATGGCTGAAATAATGATGATTATTATTATTTATTTATTTATTTATTTATTAGTAACCAACGGCGTTACAGTTAAGATTTACATACGAGTATTTAAAATATTAAGGCTAATAACAGGTTTCTTATTATTATTATAAAAGTACAAAGTTGGTTTGCGCAAAAAAGGAAAAGTACAATGCAGACATGCAATCACAAGACACTCGAATACAAATGTTTACCAATGCATGTATGTTACAGTACATACAGTATTGCCATATTTATTTTATACATTTATAAATACAACAGAGTTTGCATGAATACACTACCTCCTGTTACCATTGTAACACATTAAAGCGCACACATACACTCACACCATACAAATACAATCACACCGAGCCTAAGATTTTACTTAATCACCTAATTAACTTATTCATTATAATCGTCACTCATAGTTCTTACAACAAGCTTCTTGAATGTCAATTTAGACTGAAAGAATAGATCCACGCCCATTATTATTAAATCATTGGATTCCTTGAGTGATGATCACCGCCATCATATCAGCATTTTGAAGATTAAATTTGATGAATTTGTAACAAATTGTTATTATTATTGTTATTGTTTGTTTTTTTGTTTATCATTTGTACACTTACACTAGATTACATCTATCAACAAATTTGTAATACATTAAAAATTGTAATCGTAGTCGTCTCCACAGCCGCCCCTGTCGTACAACAATACATCCGTCCCGCTCGCACGCTACCCCCACCGAAACCATAATCGAAGGGTTCACGCCGCCGCGCGGTATGTAGCTGTCATTATAGTTATAAATATTTAGTTATTTCTATTTATTGATAGTTCTTTCCGGGGGTAAAGAGTTTATTAGTAACGGGTACCTAATAGGCCCGTTGCTAGCAATATAGAGCCTATTGCTAGCAATAAGGTCAATCTCTAAGCTGTACTCCTGGAAGCCATTTTGGATAATTATTTTTTTTGTTATTTTTTTTTATACAACTTAGAATGGCAAGCAAGCTGACGGCCCACCTGATGGAAAGTGGTAACCGTCGCCTATAGACATGAGCAGTACCATGCACATAACAGAGTAACTGTTTCGCCCATGATACCTCACCATGCGTTGCCATTCCTGAGGACTCGGGTGTTATTCCTCTGTACCCTGTAAATTCACGCCATGTTACAATATAGTTTGTAGTCCCTAATCCCCGAGGTAGGTATGAAAGAACCTGTTTTTCTGGAATTAAAAATTTAATTTTAAAACTTTTTGTGAAACAATATGAAACGGAGAAGTAATGAATGTAAAAAGAAAAATTACAAGAGAGCCCATAATTTTAGAGAAACAATAATGGTCGAAACAGTATACTCTGTTTTGTCCACGGTACTGCTCATGTCTATAGGCGACGGTTACCACTTTCCATCAGGTGGGCCGACAGCTTGTTTGCCATTCCTTAGAATGTATATTTATAATATTTTTTTATACAACTTATTGTATTAATATATATATATATATATATATATATATATATATATATATATATATATATATATATATATATATATATATATATATATATATATATATATATATATATATATATATATATATATATATATATATATATAATTTGTTACTATGGACCAACTGACATGTTTTCAACCAACTGTAAAAAAAGTGGTTATCAACTCAGTGGTTTTTTCTTGTTCGTTATCTCGTAGCTCCATCAATTATAAACAGACTTGGAAAATTCGTTTTCTATCTAAAAGGATATACTCACAGATTGGTCCCATCAGAAATTTTATCAAAATCGGTTGAGTAATTTAGTTTTTAGATCAAAATAACAAGGTTTTAACATATTTAAAGTTTTTTTGAGGGACTGCGACCTTTAATTATATTCTCACCTATCATGCTTCCCTGGTACCCCGACAGCGTATATTGATAGCGCATACGGGGTTACCAGGCAAACATGATAGGCGAGGATGAAACCAGGTCAGTTAGCCCATCATGATGAATTTATCAGGAATTAACCATGATAGTTTCCAGGGGGAACCGCGAAGAGGTCGACCTTGTTGGGTATATTGCTAAAAATGTGATTCTCAGTCTCCATTACTAACAATCCCTTTCCCCCCCCCCCAATCCGTTGGTTTGCCAGTAATTACAAATCCTCGCATTTACTGGCAAAACTCCCAAAGAAAAGACTTATGTTCAGCAGTGGACGCTTGAAGGCTGAAATGACGATGATATTGGATAACCGAAATCTAATATATCTGTTATTGCGTCGATATATAGATAGATACTGCAACTACAATATATAATAATATTGCTATATATTACCTTTTTTTATACAACTTAGAATGGCAAACAAGCTGACGGTCCACCTGATGGAAAGCGGTAACCGTCGCCTATAGACATGAGCAGTACCGTGGACATAACAGAGTATACTGTATCGTCCATGATACCCGCCATGCGTTGCCATTCCTGAGGACTCAGGTGTTATTCCTATGTTTAGTGTAGCCGAGGTTTTCCCAAGAGACTACAGCATGGGGTTCTTCAAAAGGAGGGTAAACAGGTTTCTTCAGGATCGGGAACGCGCGCGTAATACCTCTGTTGTTGCAGGCGTTCATGGGCTACAGTAACCGCTTACCGTCAGGTGGGCTGCATGATTATTTGCCACCTCAGTGGTATAAAAAAAAAAGACAACGCCGTGTT